TAAAGAGCACTGGAACAAGTTTTGGATCATTTTCTGCACCCTTGGCGAAATTTAATGATATTTCGATATTAGTACTGGTTGACAAGAAAACGTTGAATGATATCAGACCGCCTATATTTTTCTTATATTGTCGAATTCATTTAATAAAACATCTTGGCCACGAAAAATCAATACTTCCTTTTGTTGATCCACTTGTTTTTTATGCATGACTACAAATTGTTCATGAAGATCACGAATAAAAAATCCCATTGTCATAATGATCTCCATATCTTGTGTTCTCAGTGCAATATTCATCGTCTTATATAGAAAGTAATCTCTAGTATACCAATAAACAGCTGATTGACTTTTGTAGTTTTGCTCAAATTCATTGATTAAATTTAATTCTTCTTCATTATCGAGATACCGACCACGACAAAGTTCGGATAGTGTATTCCTCGCTTTGTAATCATACTGCATTTGAGAAGAATTTCTGTCAACAAGCACATGTACATGAACGACGAATTCAGTTCGTTGGCTTCATTTTCATTCTTGGGTAGAATACTAATAGGTATCCAACTATCTATGTGATAACTATCAGCCGTAATCGCCTTGAATATCTGTTCAATATCATCAAAAAGTCCTTTCACTTTTTTTGTCCAGTCGTTAACCAATTCTATTTTCCGCTTTGTTTGATTTAGTATATAGATAAAGTCTAGCTGTGGTTTACCGATAACAAGTGGTAAGAATTGTTCGACAACTGAATCCGAAACAATAAGAAATGCTGTCTTCTGATAGATATGATCAAGAAAATGAATACATTGATCAAATTCATTGAATATGAAAACTACATCAGTAATGCGTCGGAATTTAGTGATTGAGTTCACATAAGTCTTCTCGCTATCAATAATATGAGGGTCCACCCAAACAATTACCAAGTCATAGTTAGCATCATCATACAATGCCAATGACGGTGTCCGAGACCTTTTTCTTACAGTGGACGATTTTAGATCTGTTGTAGTCGTTCTCGATGAAGCATTTGCTACTCTCTTTGTCGTACTGCTGATGGATGTAGCAGAATTCATTCTAATCTTTTTGCTAGTATGAGATGTTGTACTAGTTCTTCTTTTACTCAGATCATTTTCAAATGACCCATCAGATGCTTGCTTTGATTGGCCATTGACAATTGGTGGAGATGCTGTCGAATGAGTAGCAGCCGCTACTTCCGATGATCTACAACTAGGGATGTGCAGTGTCGGTGTACTGACCACCGACTTGTACCGATGGTGTGTCCAGTGGAGCACCGACTACACCGACACTGTGTCCAGTGGACCACCGACTTGCACCGACGGTGCACTCAGTGGTCAGTTTTTCAGTGTTTACACCGACACTGCACATCCCTATCCACAACCCATTTGAATTAATTTAATCTTTTTTTAACAGTATATATGAATTTAATCTTTAAAAAATCAAAGAAACATCGTAGTACAAAGCAGACGTCGTTTGTTAATTCAGGTTCCTTGAAGGTGAAAGTTATTTTTGTTTGCACAGTCATTTTTGTAGCCTTCGAAGACAATTTAACTTTTTCTCTATACTGTAGTGTGTGATGCAGGATAGAAAAAGAGAAATCCATGCCAATAAGAAGGAGGCAGGTGAAAAAGAACTGTATGCATTCAAGATTGTTAATGGCATCTCTAAGATATAGGCATGCTTGTTGGTAGTAACTGACTGAAGCAAAAATAAACAGTCATTAAGTGTTCTCACAGAAGACGCTTCATTCAACATATTTGCCAGGGTTTTTCTCTTCATGGTTACAAAATGAAATTTTTCTCTTTTCAAGCACTTGAATATTTCTCAGAATTTCAATCAATTTTACGGTTTACGAGTCATGCAAAGTAGAACAAACAATATAAGCTACTCATATTGTTTTCATTTTTCTCTCACTGGTGCTCTCTGACACGAAACTCATATTTAGAATAATTTGTTGTATATTCATTAAATATTAGCTTCTAATTAAATCTAAGACTAATACATCGTTTTTTTCCCAAAATATATTACACTGCACGATCAAAATATTTTCAGCATGCTCTAACTTCATTTACTAATAATTGATAGTAAACTATCTTTCTGAGTTCACAACAATGTGCACTCTGAAAATTTAATTGTTTTAAACTACTACTCTTTAAGTTTTCAGTTTCGAATATGAAGTTGCCAACAACGATAATTTATATTGCTATTAGATATTTTTATTGATATCCTTGAAAATTATCTTCTAGTCACTCTCATACTAGAATAAGTTTACTCTGATCAAGAGATTACCAAAGTCTTAACAAGACTTTTATATTCGTATAAACAGCTACTGTTCTTGTGTTGATCATTTAGTGAAACAAAACTAAACTTATTTTTCAATTTGTATATAAATATGATATAAACATGTTTCGTCAATTCTATGAATTTAGTGCTTCAGTAGTTATCTGTCATTGTTTGATGTTCAAGAAATTGCATCAGCATCATATATTGTTTCATTAATTTTAACTTTTTTTCATGTATTATAATTTGTTTTTGTCATATAATGAAAAAAAATGATATTATTGATATTTAATGAAGAAGAAGGGTGTGCGTGTATTAGCGAGTATAATATCCAGCTTCACATCTACACCCTATATCAATTCCATCATAAGAAGACATTTATGGTCTATCAAGATGAAGACAATTATAATGCCAAGTTAGAATATTTAAGTATATTAATTATTAACTGAAATATGAAACCATCAAAACAATATTTTGATCTAAAATACAAAATTGATGGGAAATCAAAGACTAATGTGCGTAATACGTTACTTACAATGTTAATATAAATTAAAATTATTACTAGAATAAAACTTATTGAATACCTACACTCTCACCCTCAATTTTGTTATAGCCTACTAAACAGAATGGCAAACATTAGAGTGTTTAACAAATCCACCAACTGAAGCAGAACGTCAAATAAGTATTTAACAAAAGAGTTGTCATTATCACACCTGATAATCAATGGAAACCAATGATTATCTGCACTATCAATCAACCAATCCGAAATGTTCGAATATATGAATTATTATATTCCAGCAAACAGTAGTCAATCAATATTGGGAGAATTACACTATTGAGCTGGAATATTTATATTATCCTTGACCTTTCAATTCATTTTGAATCATAAGAAAGAGGAGGCACATTAATAATTCAAAGAACTTATTGTATTCCTTGATTGAAGCGTAAAAATCGAACAAGAATTATTTTCCACAATCGGTTTAGTTGTCGAGCCTGACAATCAATGGAAACCAATATTCTCTTTTACATTTGCTTCTTCCAAAATCAGTTTTATCGTGTAACTGTTTCTAAATTCCTATTGAACTATCCTGTTCGTGTTTTGCATTTTCGTTGTTTACATTTTACTTATATATTGTGATGCAGAGCCCTGCTAAGGGTTTCATTATTATCTAAATAAATAACACGAAACGCATCGGCGAAATAAAATTCTACATTATCGTTAAAAAATTCATTTACAATTTTAGCAAATTTATAAATATTTATATAAAATTTAGTTTTCGACTTGTGTTCGGTTGCTGAAAAGTAAGAGTTGAGAATAGCAGTTTAATTTGTCTTTTCGTTAAGAGATAGGCTGATCTGTTTTTGAATTGATTTAAGCACACCCAGATACGTTGTATGTTTTTCCACTTGAAAAGTACGAATAATATATACAAAACACATAATATCGAAAATAGTTTTGCACTAGTTTTAACACGATCAAACATTTGGTGGTCATGTTGTCTTTGTACTTTGTCTAATTGTCCATTTACCATGACAATGGTCACTTGAGTGGAAGAAGATAACGAAGAAATAGTAGTATTCGCTATGGAAAACGAACGAATGGTGGTAGTAGTAGTAGTAGTAGTTGAAAACGAAGAAGTTATTGATAATGTTGATAATGTGGTTGTCTGTTTTCCTGAAAAAAAAACAATCAGAAGGATAGATTCAATAAAAAGCTGCACATCGTTAGAATATTCAATTAAACTTACGCAGTTTTTCTTCTTCTACAATTTCTTGTCGTATTTCGACTGTCAACTTTTTTATTAAATTAGTTGCTTGTTTTCGTAGCTCCGTTACAGTCGTAGAATTCGATGAAGATTGATAAATAGCTTGTTTCATTTCGTTAATTTCTCGTTCTAATCTGATATGATTTGTGCTTTTTATTCTCACCAATTCTGGTACTGGAGCTGCAATAAAGAAATGCAATTACTTCGTTTTGGTGATTTAAGTTTTGTTTTCATCATTACATACGTTCAGGCAATTTATAAGCATGATCAGCAAGTTTGATTGCAAATGATACGATTTCTTGGGAGACATTTCGTTTTTGACATTCTTCAGCAAGATCAGAAAAACGTTGACGCCATAAACGACGAACATTTGATGAAAAGTTGCTTTTACTTATTTCAAATCGAACAAATAAATCTTTCAAATGTTGTTCAATATTTGTCATAGTTTGATTCCCATGACACAACATTTCCAGATTATCCAAGTCAAAAGTATTATTATGCTTTGAAGTTTCGTTAACCAAACTAAATATAAATGCAACAAAATAAAATCAAATACGAAAATTTTTATTGATCTTATTGTCTTGCTTTATGTTACTAATGCTGTTACTTAACTTAAGAATACAAACCTTGTTCGCCACATTTTTCCTTTGGGAAAATCTTTAATTGGATGCCACATGTTATTAGGTTGTTCGCGTATATCTTTGTAAAAAAACACTTTTGCATATTCAATAGTGTTCAACTCAGTTGGTGTGACGATGGTGAAGTTTAATTGCACCGCTAATGTATTGAAAAAGAATTCATGAAATGGTACTTCACCTAACCATTGAACAAATTGATCCATAGCTATAAGCATTCGCCGACTGAATCCCACTGCATTGGCCATTGAACAAGCCCAAGGTGGAAGAAATTTTCCTGATGCCATTATCCATAGCCACAGTCCATCAGAACCTATTAAATTAAGTTCATGCCGAGGAACAATTAAATCAGTGGTATTCGAATAAAGCTCATGCAGTGAACGAAATGCTTGAACACTTGGAATAAACACATCTTCTTCTAAGAACCAAACAAATGAATAGTTTTGATTGAGTGCACAAAAATAGAGAAGAGCTTTGTCCCATGATGTGATATATTGCCATGTGCCTAGAAAACATTACACATAGACTGCGGCCAACGCTGCTTAATCTATCTCAGTAATGTGAAATATATTTTGAAGGCTACCAAGTCGAAAATATATCCATCAGAATGTTTTAATGAAAAATCGGAAAATTTTAGACTTATTTCCTGCACCAGTTGGAAAACAATTCGAAACGTGATTATCTGTCCATTACGTATATAAATGTCGCGTTTTTTTCTTTACCTCTTGCTTATCCTCGCCCTGAAATCTGACATTCATGACTGAATTATTGTAGGAAAAAGGATTTTCTAAATTTAAACTTCAGTTCGTAATAGAGGAATTGTCCAATCAGGTGGTTTTTTAGCAATATGAGGTTTTCAATTTAGTTTGTAAAAACGTTAGATTCGAAATCTTGTGCTGATTAACTGTTGGAGGAAAACAAAAATGGCACACTGTTTGCTGGTAAACGTTGAATTAGAACTTATTAAGAATCTTATAAATGCAGGAATCTGCAAAATATCACAATTCGGAACTCTTCCCGTCTATCTGTATGATAAGACAAACCTACTAAAGCTAGGATAAAACTGAAACTTTCAGCTCAAATGGATGAACTGTTCAGAAAATATAGACGTTGGAAGCACCGAGTTTTCAGTAAACTGTCATTTTCTTCTAATATCTGTGGAATTCATCGAAATTCATGGAAGGAATCTATCAGAATACACTAACATGATAATAATCTGACTTTGCTTTTTATGCTCGACTCGAATTTTTGGATCCAACTGCTTTTGCTGTGGAATTCACACCCACATCCTAAACGTTGAATGTCTCTAATATCCAATACCTCCTGTATTAATGGCTTTGTGATAGTTGTGTCGAAGACATTTCTCTCTTGAAATTTGAAGTAGTCTAACATTAGATGAAGTATTTATGGCAGAAATATTAAAATTATTATCGTCGACCATAATAAATATCTCAACACCATATTGTATTGCATCTTCAGCCAACTGTTGAGCAAACTCAAGTAATTCGGCTGCTGGTCGATATGATAAATAACAAAGAGCTGAATTTCGTGCTTCAACATTCATACAATGAGGTAATAGTAGTGATGCTATTAGTAATAAAGAGACCGTCATCGCCAATAAATAATACAAATCTATAGTCAAATACAATTTTAGATTTTAAATCAAATTGGTTATCACTGTATCTCAAGCTTCCTAAGGGTTCACAAGATTAATTTTTCCGGAATCATTTCAGATTTTTCTTACAAGCTCCGTTATCTTTCTTATCGCTAGGCAGAAATAATTATGTTCAGCATTCAATTAATATCAAGGGGGAAAGTACTGGCACCCAGCACCGAAAAGTGCTGGATAGGTGCTGAGGTGCTGAATATGTGCTGAGGTGCTGAACAGGTGCTGAGGTGCTGAATAGGTTCTGAGGTGCTCAACAGGTGCCGAGGTGCCAATTGATTTTTTTAGGATACCACATAGACTAAATCACTACATTGTGATTGATTAAGAGCGCTCTCTATCAGATTCATTGTGTTACTTCAATACTAGCGAATTATTTAAGTATCCAATCAGACATTCGCTCATTTTACAAAACTGTCTAATTGTAATTCAATTTTTCTTACTTAGAAGAAACTCATTTTTGTGCCGTTTTTCAGATATAAAAAGAAGAGAAGAAGTTCCGTTCAATATTTTTCAGTTACTTTACGAATTCTTATTTGCTCCATGGGATAAAATGCGTTTTTCATATTGTTTAAAGGTGGCATGTTGTCAGTAATATAGCAGTATACTAGCAGAAGTACCCAGCGTTGCCTGGAAAATTTCACATTTAATATATGCAAACAAAACCCCATTGTACTTGAGAAGATCTAAAACGCCTAATTAGTAGGAAGAGATATATACAACTACTATTTTTGCCGCGTGCCGATTTTGATTCCGAGCCTCGGACGTATTCTAAGTCTCGATCCCACCTGATCTCGTTCACAACGAATATAGAGTAATGACATTGAAAGACCACTTCGATGTAAGGAATTCTTCGTCGTTATACATGTAGATCAAGAAGACCTTAGTGGCACATATAAATTTTATGAACTTTCTATATTTTCAAGTACATCTCGGAGCACATACTTACGTCAATTGGTTTCGCTCCCGACCGGCTCCCGTCCTACTTGGTCACGGTTCGGTCCCGATTCCGTAGCTGTTTGATTCTATATTTAGAGGGAACCCATTTGAGAATTCAATTTTCTTACACTCATGCAAGAAAAACTCGCTTCTATCAAAACTCAACACAACCACACATCTACTTGCTCTAGAACTTCAGGTTTAGAATATCTATTGATTACCAGAGTTATGACAGTATATCGTACTATGTGCTGTTGAGAACACACTGAAATTTGATTGGTTGCAAAGAAAGATCACTTATTCGAAATTCCTACCGCAGATGATTTCTAAAGAATCAGTTTCTCCAAAACTTTATGTGTATTTGGCATGGTCCATCTAATTAAGCAACGGATCGTCTAGTAAGGTATTACGCTCGATAGATTTCCGATTCATAATGCCCATCTTACGATCATTCAGTGACTCGTTTACTCAAAAACTCCGTGTCTGTTGATTTTGGACTAATCATGAAGTTATCGAAGTAATTGGCCCCAGATTCGACCTCGTCACCCTCAAAAACCTCTGGTGCCATGCTTTCTGTGTGCTCACGGAGTGTTGCTCAATAGTACTTGTATACTACCGAATGCTGAAATCTGACTGGTCAGTCACATATGCATGTTTTTTGTGGATGGAGGAACGACTAATTTTGGGAAAAAAGAATTACTGAACTTTTTCTGAATGAAAGAAAAATTCCTGGAAAGTTTGACTGCATTTGCTCGAACGGTGTCCAAATGCGTAATGAACAGACACACAAACATTTGTCTACATATGTGGGTGGCTCCGTGGTGTTTATACGACTTTTGTGGAAAAACTATTTTTTTAATTTTAATTGTCTAGTTNTATTACGCTCGATAGATTTCCGATTCATAATGCCCATCTTACGATCATTCAGTGACTCGTTTACTCAAAAACTCCGTGTCTGTTGATTTTGGACTAATCATGAAGTTATCGAAGTAATTGGCCCCAGATTCGACCTCGTCACCCTCAAAAACCTCTGGTGCCATGCTTTCTGTGTGCTCACGGAGTGTTGCTCAATAGTACTTGTATACTACCGAATGCTGAAATCTGACTGGTCAGTCACATATGCATGTTTTTTGTGGATGGAGGAACGACTAATTTTGGGAAAAAAGAATTACTGAACTTTTTCTGAATGAAAGAAAAATTCCTGGAAAGTTTGACTGCATTTGCTCGAACGGTGTCCAAATGCGTAATGAACAGACACACAAACATTTGTCTACATATGTGGGTGGCTCCGTGGTGTTTATACGACTTTTGTGGAAAAACTATTTTTTTAATTTTAATTGTCTAGTTATGGGTATTGTTGTCAAAAACGGTCTACGGTAACAGTTAAAACCTTTTTGGAACATATAAAATATGAAGAAACATAATTTTTTTAGGAACATCTCCCACACATATAAGGGTATTGTGACGGATTCCATCCATCACGACTCCATCAAGAGTGCATGTACTCATTAATCACTCTTATCATTTAATCATTAGTTTACATTTGCTTCTCTCTTTTCTTCTTCTTCACTGTTTATATTATTCGTATCAGCATTGTTACTCGAAAAAGCATTCATTCTGAATAAAAGAGAGGAACGAACAAGTCGTTCCGTCACAGGTATCTCATAATAACTGTTAATAAAGTATTAATGATATTTTAATACCTTTTCTTGACATAGACGGCTAAAATTTTTATCTCACATATATCTAATAGAGATATTTTATTTTTGAAAGTTTTAGCTCTCTAACTAAACCTACGGGTGAAATACATCCACAAGAGTGAAATACATAAATTTTTGTACTGGAATTTTGCATATTGTTATTATGAAATTATTTCAAAAATCGAGTTCAAAAATCGATCTTTCACCAGTAGTTTAAGCTCGAGAACTGAAACTTTCAGAAATAAAAAATCGGCATTAAATATATATGCAATAAAACTTTCAGCTCTCTAGTTCAAGAAAAACTATGAAAAGCACCGTTAGCAATTTATTATCAGTCATTATGCAATACCCTTTGCATGCGTAGTGTTCCTAACAAATGATGTGGTTCTCCACATTTTATAGATCACAAAAGGTTTTAATTGTTATCTTAGGCCATTTTCGATGACGATACGTCTAACTAGACCGTGAAGATAAATGAAAAACTTTCTTCCAGAATATTGGAACAGAGTTCTCTTCTTCCGCAACGTAGCAGAAGCCACACGTATTACCCATATAGATTTTTGAGATTTGCTTTATGAAATTTTAATATTTTCATGCAGTGGTTGTCAGAGAAGTAGAGTATCTTCGATATCATTGAAAATAAAAAGATCTTTTGTGAACCATTTGCACCTCATTGAATATAATTTAAGGACCAAAGAGTGTTGAAATGGTATTGGAAAAGTGCTATGGTATTTTCTATCATAAATCAGTATTTTTCTATGGCAAAAACACCAAATCTGAATACTGTTACCCTATTGCTAAGCAACTTCTCAATTAATACTTATGTTCGAATTTTCTAATCTTCACAGCACCCATAAGTGCCGAGTAGGTGCCGAGCAGGTGCTGAGTAGGTGCTGGGCAGGTGCTGAGGTGCCAGGGTGCTGGGTGCCAGCACTTACCCCTTGATTAATATCATCCGTTCACATTGATCATTCCGAACGTTCGAAACGATGACTTATAAGATCTTAGATAGCTTAAATCTTGTCATGATCATTGAAAAATGAAAGCCGTTTCGTTCAGGTCCCATCGAATAACAATAAGTCATATAAATACAATGATCTAAAATGAAAATAATATAGATCAAATTAAAAGTCTTTACTGATATTGTATTAACTGAGTCTCAAAATGAGCCCCCCTGTTCGAACTGTGCTTCTACTTTTTCAGAAAAATTTCTTACCCACAGAAAAAAAAAATATGATTATAATTGATTAAAACTAGTTGTTAAAAGCCCATTTAATTTGATTGTCGTCAGGTGTTTTCACAGTCGACACGGTTTATTATGCAGGTATATCGTAAGTTTGATATTTAAGCCTATCCAGTTAAACAAGTAGCGAAAAAGTCGATATTTTCATATTTAATGAAAATGCGCACGTTTTAACGCGCTAACAAAACATCTAAACTTTCTTCTCTTGCGCTAAATGACATGAATGAGGATTGTGACAAATAGGTTTTTCTGACTTTATAACAATCACATCAAACTCACAATCAGTTGAATCTATTTTTTGAACACTACAAGGATAATATAAAAGTCTTTTTTTTCAGTGCTGCTCACTATTTGTTTCTCTAAATCCTTTCTTCTATGACATCGGTTAGGGAACAAACAACTTCATAGAACTATAAATTCAGTAGTAGCTTTTTCTACTGATCAGCTGTTTGGCACATGCAAATATTGATAACTAAAATGCAACGCAAATATTCCAATCTATCTTGATAACACAACGTGATATTAACCCTTTCAATCCCGTCATTTTCGTGCGTTCTGTATGAAAAAGAAAAAAAAGAAGTTCAATCCCTCTCTCTTGCATTCTGTCGTCACGATCAGCTGTATTTGACTTTATTAACCACCTGTTTCTTAATGTCATCTAGATAGTTTGTACGAAGTTTAATCAAATTTATTTCACTAAAAAATTCGGAAGTGAAAGGGTTAACTTGTGGAGAAACACTTTCATAGGCACTACTCTGATTCACTTACCAGACCACATCACAATGCGCTCTCCTAAGTATTCATTTGCTTCGCCTAAAATACAAAAGAGAAGTTATCAATACTATTTCTTGTGTGCGAGCGTAAGCCAAATATATAGAATTTGTGAAACGAACAATCATTATGTTGATAAATGATTATCTTTCCTGAAAACATAGCAATCAGAAGTAGTTTCCAAAAAGAACCGTTGATAAGAATCTAACGAACATTTTGTTTGGACAAATTTACATTGGAATAGTTTGAAGATGTCTTTTTCGACCATAAGATTAAAACTAAATATGAAATTAGACTGTTCTTAATCTAAAATAATAGTTTTTTAGTAATTCTTACGAATATCATTCCAGTCAGAAGATGTTACCAGTAAACTAAAAATTACAGCTGAAGCCACAAAAAATCATTCATATGACTTTTTTTAACCGATCAATGCGAAGTTACCACAACACAATCCATCTGTACAATCGCTACCGTTATTCTATTGGTCGAAAAACAACCGATTGAAAACAATATGGAGAGCGCACAAGAATGATGGCAGTAAATTACACAATTTTTTAGTCACTTCGCTTGTTTTTTTTTTTCATTATTCACTACCGGCTCCCAAGCATTCAGAACCTGCACGAATATCGACTGACTGACATTTGCAAAATAATTCCTAAAAACAATCAACCAAAAGCATCCCTACCGTATGTGTCCTTGAAGTATCGATTTGATCAATAGTGACATCCCTTCAACATTTTTTGAGATATCAGATAAGCTTTCATCGATGCAAAATTTCATAGACTATCCGAGGGTGAGTTAAGTTACTACGAAAAACATTTGTTTAGGGTGTGGGTGTGTCAAGGGGGAAACGGCGGACTTTTGGACTTGAAGTTACTTTGAGCTACGTTAGGCTACTTTGACATACTTCGAAGTACTTCAAGCTACTTTAAGTCATTTATTTTCACGTACTTTTCAACTCCACATTTACTTCAAGTTATCTGAAGTTACTTGTTCTAACTTTTTGCTACTTGATTGATACTTTGAGCTACTTGAAGTCCACTGTTTCCCCCTTGGGATGTGTAGTCATGAATATGGATGACTGGAGCACACCCGTGATCACACGCCGCACTATCCCACACTTACACCCTGAGAACATTGTTGATGAATGCATTTATAGAAAGTATTTATGGGCAGTCATATTTATTGAAAATTAATAATCACGTGTGTCAAAAAGTATCTAGGGACTGAAGATGATCAATGAATATTTGACACGAATATTGTTTTTCATTGATTACACGTACTTCTATAATGTTTCTTTTATGAATTGTGGAATTAACTGAGCAACAACTTCGTCACCAGGATCCGTCAGTGAAAGTTGATGAACGCCTCTGTCTACAATCTGAAATTTTCACAGTTGAGATAGTTTTAAATTCCACTCTTTTGCTTCTTGCGCTGGGAATATACGATCATCTGCTCCGCGCAGAATCAATGCTGGAACATTGATTTGATCACGTTTATCACCATGGGTGGCTTCAATGTAAGAACAGGTCAAGAAACAAAATTACTCAAACTAATCGACAAATGAAGCTAGACCGTTCAAAATTACAAGGTGATAAAACATTGAAGACGTACCAGAAAGAATTAGTAAACTCATATGAAGAATCAAATCAATCATCATTGGATATCAACAACAAGTACATCAAATTCATTAATATGATAGATAAGCCATAGAGAAGCACCTAACTGTGAAAGGAAACAAAAAAACAAAAAAAAGAATGGATGACTGATGAAATCATGAATAAAATAGATGAAAAATCTGCAGCTTATCTCAAGTGGCAAAATCATCGTGGAACATCCGAAGAAGGTAAATATAAAGGTAAGTATACAGTTTTAAGGAAAGTCGTGAAAAATATGACTGACGAACGCCAGATTGAATACTGGGATAAAGTAAGTAGTGAAACTGAAGCAGCAATCAGCCAACATTAGGGGTGACACTTTAAGTTAATTTAATATTAAGTGTTAAGTTTTAATTTAACACTTAATATTAAGTAATTAAGTAGCTAATATACACATTTTTTTATTAATATTAAATGTTAAGTAAAACTACTTAATTAACTCTCTTAATTGACTCAAATTAAAATCAACCGCCCATCCCTACCCAACATGATCCAACAACAGCATATGCAATCATTAGAAGATTCAGAAGTGGTAAACAAAACGTCGAAAACATATCAATTCAAAACAAAAAAGGTATAATGCTTCTACGTTCTGATGAAAAGTTAGCAAGATGGTGTGAACACTTTGAGGAACTACTGAATGTAAACAATGTTGTCGGGACACATACTATCGATTGCATCTCAACACTAGAACAACAAAGATAAAACAAAACACCTACACTGGAGGAAATCCAAGAAGGCACCTGGTAATGATGAAATCACAGTTGATAAAGGTGGAGCAAACAATTCTGGGGCACTGAAGAATTTAGTCTCATTGTTCGAAATCTCATTCGAATAAAATTTCGGTGCGTATAACAAAAACATTATTCGTTAAGCTTTCAGATTATAAGACATAATCTTGACACTTTGTTTCGAATAGGAAAAAGCAAATAAAACAAAAATTGTCCAGCGGCAATAAGTCCTGGAACATTGTCGCTAGCTACAAATATTGGTCTGATATCTCAGCCATTTTAAGACATATGAGACTGAAAATTTGTGAGCATATATGGCATGAATCATTAATACTAATCCGCGCTATAGATATTTAGTTGGTCAGGAGATATAACCAATATTAGCTTATATTACTGCACCTCTTATAACTTCATAACCGGTGATTGTTAAGAGCCGGAAAACCAACCGTTATGTAGCCCTAGTATGTACCTATCCACGAAAGAAATGTTATAAAGGTTGATTGAAAAATTTACAAAATGAGATTATACTTTTTTATAAACGATTTTGAATGAAACAAGTTTTCGAGACAAATACGAAAGAGATTACAACAAACTAACGTGAAATTCTCACAGAATATAGGGTAACACCAGAGTAGTCTTTCTTCCAGTTTGAAAGAAGAAAATACTTCATACAAAAAAGCAACTTCGAATATCAGAGTTCAATCGAGTCCTGTGATGCAAGGTTTCGATGGTTAATTTTAAATTACAAGTTAATGCTGAGTAACTTCGGTATTTTTTGTTTTTCATATCAAGAACAAAAGTTCCACAACTGTGACTGGTAATTTAGAAGTTAATCAACAATTATGTTTGTTATATGTGCAAACTTTATGTCGATAGGATACTGAAAACTGAGATCCCATTTTTCAATGTCCCAGAACTTTTTGCCGGACCCGTATATATATGTTCCGTACACAACATCAGCAATATTGGCAATGACTTGTGAATATATGATGATTACTCATAAAGAAACATGGAGTTTTTTTCCATTTCACTAAACGAGTTGATGTTGACTATTGATGTTACTGTATAGTCAATCTTACTCATTATTTTATTATTCGTCGTATAGTTTGTTGATAGGTACATACACTCAAATATAATTAAATGCTTTTCTTTATGAAAAACATCATGTTGATACGTTGAAACGAGGTCTCCCAAATCATCATTCACTTAATGGTAGAAAATATTCGATTGAAAGTATGATGATTCATCATCGAAATGAATATCAAATATATGATATTTTTAGCATAAATGAAGTTTTTATGAGGCAAAAAAGAAAACAAACACATTACCACGGCCCTGGCGTAAATTGCTAAAAAAACGCAAGAAAAAACAAAATAACGAGAATGACTGACATGAATAATCGACCTTGCCTTGCGTAGGGACCAAAAGAGGCTATTACTGTTTGCTTGCAAATTACTATCGTACATTAATAAGTGATTGCATCCAGTATCGGCAACACAGATTGGAAGTATACAATAATATTTTTTTAAATTCCATTGAACACATCTTCATCGTAAAAGATGACTCTTAAGTCGTATTTGGCAAATAAACTATCTGGTAAAAAATATCGCATCAACAGTCTTCGTCGATCAGATCGTTTACCGAGCAAAGATAATTTACGTCAGCTATTTCATGATCATATGATTTACAGTGCTGATCAACTTCCATCTAGCGTTGATCTTCGATCCGATATGACACCTGTCGAAGATCAATCACAAATCGGCAGCTGGTAAGTGAATACCAATAGCTCTCTCCTATCTCATTATTTTTCAATTTGGTTCAGCGAACGCTCTTGCTGGTAAGATTTAGTGATCATAAATCATTTATATGGCCTAATCTCTTTTTTACAGGTGCTTATGAATATATTACCAAGAAGTGGGACGGTAATGATATTGCTGTTAGTCGTCTATTTATTTATTATAACGGTCATGCTAAAGCAAATCCAGCTACTATAACTGACTCTGGTTGTACAATGACAGATGGTATTGAAGGATTGGAAGAATTCGGAGTTCGTCTTGAATCGGTTTGGCCATATGATATTTCACAAGTAAATACGAAACCAAGTGAAGAAGCCTATCAAGATGCAGCAGGTCATACAATCACCGATGCACTGCAAGTGGGTATTAACTTGAATGAAATGAAATCATGTTTGGCACAAGGCTTGCCATTTGCATTCGGTTTAGTACTATTTAAATTGTTTGCTAAAGCATCAGCAAATGGTATTGTTCCATATCCTGGTTTAACGGATATTATCCAAAGATCAATCGGAGGGTTAAGCATTATGTTTTAGTTAAAAAAATTATTCGTAAAAATATCTTTGTTTATTTCAGTCATGCACTTCTAGCTGTCGGATACAGTGATACATCAAACTCATTTATTGTCCGAAATTCATGGGGAGAAGATTGGGTAAAAACAATATTTTATTTTGCATTCTGACAGATTTTATTGAAAATTTCTACAGCATTCGAAAAATTTCGAATCTATCTTTTTTTATGAAGAAAAGCAAAAACAACTGATGTCCTTCGCAATACATTATTTTATACTTTATGTCATGTTTTAGGGAGACAAAGGATATTGTTATATTCCATATAAATATATGACCCACGCTGAATATTGCTTTGACGCCTGGACTATTCGTAAATTGGCTACGGATGATCTCAGTCAAGGCAATGGAAATAATGACGATTCAATGAATTATCATCCGGCCAATAGCAGTGAGGAAAACAATGATGAAGATGATGACACCCACACACCCTGAGCACCACACTGTAAAAAAAAAGAGTAGAATAATAAACCCTTGTCCTTTCTACAAATCATGCTAAACCCTTGAAGGGTTTATGACAACGCCATAAACCCTTAAAGGGTTTATGAAACGAAGGGTATATGAAAAAAAGATGATACAAGAACAAAAAGGGTTTATTAATCTGAGATTTAAGGAGAAGGGTATATGATTTTATCTTCAAGGGTATTTTAATATGCGGTTTCAATAAAAGGGTTTATTACTTTCGTACTAAGGGTATTTTATTCTACGGTCTCGAGAAAAGGGTTTATTACTTACTTAAAAAGGGTATTTTATTCTACGGTGAGGGATTTACGGGGATTTATTGTTCTACTCCATCATCAAAAGGGTTTTTTATTCTTCGTTCAAAGGATTACACTTTTTCAACTGATATATATATATATA